AAAATCGTAAATCGGGTTTGGTGTGAAAAAATCTGAGATTTTATTTTTAAGCCATATCGCCCAGCCCTACACTCTACCCTACACCCACAAACCACTTTTAAACTCTATCATGTCTTCCCTCCCTCCCCAGCCCCTCATTAATACACCATCAGTAAGTGCTATAGATGTAGGAAAGGAATGCAGATGATCTAAAAATTATTATAAATAAATAAAAAGAGTCTACAGCCATGCCAGTGGCTCTGTGAGGCTCTACTTACTGTACTCAGTGTGCTAACATGCTCACAGTGATAATGCTGCTGTTGTTCCAAAGTAAGCATCATGTTTATAATGTATCTCTCGATTCATTTTTATTTCCAAGGGGTGTTATCAGTGGGCGCCAATCAGAATGCCTCTGGAACCAATTGGATAGATCTACAACCAAACAGAGCCACAAAACATGTGACATGGGCTGTCAATTGACTCTTAACTACAAAGATTCCCTTTTTTCCAGTTCAGTGCCTGTGGTGGTAACACATCTTAGTGAGTATCAATGTTTTAGTCTACCTACCACGTTTTAATGTCTTTCTTCGTCATCTGTAATGTGAAAATATCAGATTGACGTATCTACCAGAGCAAGTAAAATATGACCTTGCAGATTTGTCTGATTCCCAGGCAGTTAAACTGAGTGTTGGACAAATTTAAAGTTTGACCCAATGATGGTGCTGGTTAAAGGGCAGGGGATCACTAAAGTTAGAATTCATCCTGAGGGAAACATGAATGTCTGTACCACATTTCATGGCAATCCATCAAATAGAGATATTTCACTCAAAACCACAAATGCCAGCTTCATGGAGGGGTTAGAGGAAAAGTAAGGGGACTAGGGCTGTTGTGATAACGGTGATAATGGGGTATTATTGGGTCCATTATTGCTTTTATCACAACAGCCCTACTCCCCTGACTATTGACTAAGGCATCCCCAGAGTGGGCTAGGCTGAAGAGACTTGATACAGCAGAAGCGCTGTCTAAAATGCAGTGCTACTCAGTATTCACAGGATTACAATACCACACAAGAAAAACTAGTGTAGCTTCCGCCTCACTCGCTCTGGAAAAACCAGCAGTCTTGTAGTAGAAAACGCAGATTGGTCCGCTAATAATCACAATTTGCAACAGCTGTGGTTTGTGTGCACTTGCACACAAGCAACCCTGTTAACAGACAACTTTAAGCTGAATATGGTAACTAACTGGCAAATTTATTCAACGGAAAGTTGCCAGTTAGCAGGGTCACAGACCCAGGAGGCAGGAGGCGGAGAGCGCAGGTGAGTAGTAGAAGCAGGCACTAAGATGGAACATTATCCTGTTGTACCCCTCACAAAGTAATTAGCAAAAAACAACAAAACTTGCGCTTCACAGTGACAGCTTTACAGGGGACCAGCAACATCATCAGAATTCATCCCTTGTAGACCATGAATGCTGGTGGGGCTTGAGTTAAAGTTGATACCAATGCAAAGAGAAGTGAGATATTCCAGTCTGGGCCAAAGTGGTGGACCGATCGAAGAGACAGACAAAATGACACTGCCATCCCTAGAGCCAGCATGCATTGCTAGCACGGCTAAGAAGCAGTCAATAAAAAGAAAAGCTCTCTGGCTTGGTTAAACATGGTGGAGGAAACATTTTGTAGATTTTGCTCAAAGTAAAAGGATAAAGTAAACTTGGCTGTGCCGTAGCGGAAACCCACAGCTGTTCTGTCCATCCCTTACACTCAAATCCACCATCTGCCAGCTCAGCCAATAATGTGTCACAGGAAGATGTGCATAAATTACCATAGGAGTTTAGCAGTGCATCCCTTCAGAGCAGAACCGCTGTTCTGATCACAAGCTGTTGGGCCCATTTATTAGCTATACCGAGCATATGAGGTCAGTTTAGTCATTCTTTCAGTTGTATTAAATGTGCTGATAAATGAAGAGCAGAATGCTATGACAAACTGCCTGAGCAGCTGCTTTTCTTTCAATGTGTGTTTTCTTTGACCCTGTACAGCAGTGCTTAGTACAACTGCAGGATTTGTCAAAGGCAGCAACTAAAAGAACTCAATATCGCTAAATTACACCCCTGGATTAAAATAGGAGCTATGACAACAGAGTGCTCCTCTCTCATATAAGGGGCATATTACACATCGGCAATGTTTGAGGGTTTTCTTGGAAATGCCTTTGAGGGATCGGATCATGCTTGTAATTGAGGACAAGCGATTCAGATGCCAACCCCTCCTCTAAGGAAATGAGTTTGGTTTGGGAGTTGGTCTGTGGATAGGAATTGCAAGGAATGAGGAGGATTTCTTTCTCACATTCCACAACCAGAAAAATATCTGATCTTACTGAGACATTTTCTTACAAAAGAGTCTTTAGGGTCAAAGCAGAATAATTGAGCAGGTTGATTTATTAACCACACTTTCCATGGCTATCTACCATACCCTGAATAACTAAATATATAGCCATTACGATGAAGATTCATCAGAAAATCTAAATTAGTTTGGGACATTCCCAGTGTTGCAACCTTTTTAAACCTGTGTCGGAGATAACATTGTGTGTTTTGATAGTCCATTTAACCACACATCTAGTTTATTTACTAGCTAAAACCAGAATAGCCCTGCAAAGTCTACATTCATAAAAGGTTACAGTTTATATCAGTGAGGGTCGACTAAATATTAAAAATGCAGCTGAGTATAATGTAATTAATTTCAACAACACCACAAAAGGTGAATCAACCCCTATCTGAAAAGTTTATCATCATAACCTTCCTCAACGATAGCCTTACCATAAGCAACAGCTACTGTAAGTGCATTCCATGACAAGTAATTGCCATTACAAACCAAAAACAAGTCAGGGTGATCTCTGACTTTAAAACAGGCAGTCACTGTTCTAATCAATCAATTAAGGGATTAAAAAGAATGCCAACAAGGCGCCGAATACACATTACATCATTAATTTACGTAACTGCTGTCAGTAACTCCAGATTGATCAAGGCCATACAGTGTCTGACAGAATTCACATGTTAGAACACACAATCAACACAGTTTATTTGGGATATAGTGTTTGCTGTAGACCTCCAAAATTAGGTTTTTTGATCAACTGCTAATGCCAGGTAGACTGAGAAATCATCATCATGGTTTTGAGATTCATATTTCCCCCAGGATCTCGGGCCTCCTGCATCAGTCAGACACCACTGCTTGCAAAAACACTGAGCTTCGTGACTTTTCTCTTCCTCTGTGATAGATGGTAGTAGACAGATCATCTATCCAATGCCGAGTATTTACTGAAAATGCCCATCCGTTTCCAACAATGACTTCCCAGATGGTTCCGTGTAACAAACCATCTGGCACAGTCAGGTTATAAACCTGGCCCTACACTGTGGTTCCAAATTATTTACTGGCCATCTGGCCAGTGACCATTTTATTTTCCGTCCAAACCCCAAATTTACCGGCATTTGGCGCTTGGTGGGTGTTCATTTTGGACCCTGCCAACTCTCAACTTTTGACTAAATTGTTGGCTTAATAAGCTTATATTTAAGTGCTTTGCAATAAAAACAAAAGGTGTCAAAGCCACACCTGATCAAGATGAGTATATTTCTTTAAAATGCTTGGAAACTATTTTCCTCCTATAAAATGTGTTGTGTTAGAAAAGAGCTGCTGAAGACATTGTTTGCACATTTATAAACTGTGTGCTTGTTATAGTTTCTAACATGTATCTAAATTGTTTAATTACGTGAGCCCTTCTTTCAGCATTAGAAAGTCCACGTCTATTAATATGGTCTGTCTTTTCTGCTGCACAAATGTTATTCGCTATTGCGCAAGCTGTCATTGCTTCCTTTAAAGATATGAACAAGCTGCATGGATTTTCATGCCTGGAGTTAAAATGCTTGAGAACATAAATGTCTAAAAAGTGAAGTTTAAGTGTGTCTTTTAGGCTGTAAATTCTTGTGTGATGACAACATGACACAGGGGAAATAGTTCTCCTTTAATTGTGGACTGGATGGGTTTGCTTGACAGAAAGAAATACCACCAGAGGTATATTTCTCAAGTGAAAGCTGGAACTTGGAGCTATAGTGTCAGTAAGTGCTCCCATAGGGGAACATGTGTCACACAAAGACCTGTTTGTTTTCTCCTGCATCACTGATAGTACGATCATCGAGCAAGCTAAAATATAATTTATTTTTCAATTATGATTTTTCTCATTCTTCTTGTAAGACGCAAGACTACCAGTGAGAACAATGAGAGTATAATCTGTCCTCTCTCCCTGCTCCACTGAACACATAGATTTGACTTGAATAACACCGTATAGGACAACCCAGGGATAAGACACTGCTGATGGCGAGAGAAAGGTAAAAATACCAGATAAAAAAAAATTATATCTAAAAGCAAGAAGGTACGCTGAAGAACAAAATGACAGAGAAAAAGAAAAAGAGAAGCAGCGTAGAGAGGAGAGTGCGCAAAAGAGAGACATATGGATGTAATTGAGGACCGATGAACTGATGATGTCATCTCACAGTCAGGTTATCAGGCCCCAGGCAAAGCAGCTACGACTCACAAAACATGTTTCTCTTCTTAAAACATATGGGAACACAACACACACAGACAACATATGCATACTTCTAGATGAGCTACAGTTCATACAACATGCCAAGTTAGTCCCAGCACTTGGGTAGCATAGTTAACATGTTTGCCTAGGCTAATCCTGGAAACTGAGAGTGTTAGCCTTTCCAGTTTGAATTGTGTTTGAAGCTTTAGTTTTCTTTACCTACACACACAGACAGACATACACACCAACACACACACACTCTGTCCTTCCCATTAGCCTCTTTGGCATGGCAACACAATGACCTCATTTGGAATGGGCTGAAATCCAGTAAAAAGACACACATACATACACACACAAGCAGACACACATGCACACGCACACACACAGCAGTAGAGCCTGTACAGTCCCATATAAGGACTTGCTGATGATGTAATGGGCGCCACTGACTGCGAGTGAGACTCAGTGTGCAGAGCACTTCTCATAATGTTTGGTTTTCCGGATGGAATGTCCACATCACTGGGATCTCCGGGAAAGGGAGAGGTGAAAGACTAGAGACAATTTATTCTCTGAGGATTTTCAAACAGCCAACAGCACAGCACAGGTAGGAACAGTCAAAGCTGGTGAAGAGCAAAAATATATAATGTACATTTAGAAACTGAAAACTCACCTAAAAGTTTGCTTTTTAACTGCAAGATGAGGTTACAGGCAAAGTAAGTACTGTCCAGTTCTGCAAAGGTTTGATAGATAGAATGTCTTACAATGCTATGTTGATACAAAATAACAAAAGTGTGCATTTCAAAGGGTACCTAAGTTGTATATTTGAGGACTGGACTAAAGAGCTATGTCTTACTTTGAAACATTTACACTGAAAACCTATGCCATTTAATTTTCACTTTTGCAATTGTTCTGTGCGTTAGAGCAATAAATTCTCATCAATTCTATTTCGGAAGATACAATCTTTGTTAATTTAACCCATTCACCCACATACACACACATTATAGTTGTAAGTTATATGTATCTTAATAGCAAAAAGTACCAATGTTCTAAATGTAAAATTTTTTATCCACAAATAAATAGCAACTCTCACATACATTTCAATATGAACACACAGGAATATATGCATCTACAGAGTTATATGGAAAACATGATATGCAGACTTAAAGAACATAAATGCCAGTAAACCTAAATGTCGGCACTGGATCTCTCCAGTATGCAACACTAGCAGAAAAAAGTTGCACTTACATGAGGAGACGGATTCTAAATAGTAAAAATCGACTGACGAGAGATCACTTTGATGTGCCTCAACGTCGCAATAACACATGACACAAAATGTACAGCGTGTATTGCATTTGTACATTGCTGGTATGCATTTGGGGAAATGTGAGTGACAGCACTTGGTAAATCTAGCCCGTCTGTAATTACTTATGGAACCAGGGGGAATTCCTGCCTCTCCTAGCTGGAAATGGGGTGGTATTCGATGTGCACAGAAGGGGGGTGATTGTGTGCAGTGTTGAGGGTACTCAAGGGTAGAGGAACTTCTTAATTAACAAACACTCCCTGCCAAGGGACCATCTGCCATGATAGTCAAAACATACTATAGAACGCATGCTGCCTGGAAAGAAGTGCAAAACAACATGGATATACATAGACATATTTACATGTTTTAGGGTTTACAGGTAGGCGCACACACACGCGCACACAAACACACACACACACAAACACACCGACACACACACTAACTAGATATACACACAGAGAGATTTACAAAGGAGAAAAAGTATTCCTAGCTTTTGCAGAGGTTTGAGTAGGGAGGAAACTGTGACTCAAATTCTGAAAACGAAAATAAATGTTTATGCTGGAAATACACAACTTAGGAAATTATTAGTGTTTAAAGGTTGTGGCCAAGAGGTTAAGTATAAACATGAAAATGTGGCCTTGGAGGCTGAAATAGAAGGCAATTACACAATAAATCCAGTCCACAACACTCTGTTTGACATCAGCGTGATGTTTTTTTTTTTTTCTCTCAACAGACTCAAGCTCCTAATTGTAAAGGAGAGGGAATACCAGGAGATAAAGGAGAAGAAACGTGAAAAAGAAGTATCAACTTTAAAGAACGAGCTGACCAAGCTGAAGGCTTTTGCACTGCTGGTTGTAAAGGAGCAACAGTATCTGAGCGAGCTGCTGGAGGAACAGAGGCGTTGTGTCAAAGAACTGAAAGCCATCACTGACCACATCGAGCGGGAGGTCAGTGCTGCTCACCCCAGTGCAAAAAAAGAGAAGCTCAAATCCCTGCATCTGGAGGTGGAGCACCATAACCAAGTTTCCATCCTCAATCAAAGCCAGAACACCATGACAGCCCCAAGCCTGCTGTCAGAGGTTGAGATACTGAGGAGAAGAGTAGAGGAAATGGAGGGAAAGGATGAGGAGCTGCTGCGCATGTGGGGCCAGTGTAGAGACCTGGACCACAAACTAGCGAGGGAGACAAGCCACTGTCGTAGCTTGAGAGTTGATATGGATAAACTCAATGGCAGAATTAACGAATTGGACAGGATAGAGGAGGTTTTAGGTAAGAGCAAACAGGACTGCAGTTTTCTGAAGGGCAGCTTGGATCGAGAAAGAGAGGTTAGCAAGATGCTGTCGGGTGAGCTTGACACTCTGAAAGTTAGGGTGAGAGAGCTAGAGGCCATCGAAGGCCAACTGGAAAAGAGTGAAGCAGTGACTAGACAGGACCTGGCCAAGCTCAGGTCACTGACTGTAGCGTTGGTGGAGGACAGAAAGACCATGGCCGAGAGGCTCCGACAGGCTGAGGAAAAACTCAACAGAAAGGAGGGCAAGAGAAATGAGCACAGCAATTTGGCAACAATGACAGAAAGACTGAGAGAGGAGAGGCAGCAAACACTGAGGTCTAAGGCAGATTTAGAGGAAAGGATTAAGGGCATAGCGAAGGAAAAAGATGAGCTCCATGACAGACTAAAAACAGAGGAGGAGAGGAACAGAGAGCTACACAGTAAAATAACCATAATGAAGAAAAGGTTACAGGTCTTGGAAAACAGGAAAGAAAAAGAAGAGAAGTACACAAACAGCTCTATTCCAAATAACCCTAACCATCACTGCCAAACAGAGGACAACAAAGTCAAAGAATTGACCCAGGAGCTAGACAGGCTGCGAAAGAGACTACAGGATAAAGAGATGTTGGAGGGAGAGCTAATGATGGTAGAAGAGAACTTTGAGTCCCTGGAAAAGAGGTTCAAGGATGAACAGAAAAGGTCCCATGCCCTAACAGAGGAGCTAGAGGTGGCAAAGAGGGAGCTTTCCAGGTATGACCAGGCAGAGAAGCAGGAGGTCAACCAAGAACACCTTCTCCTTTGCCGTCTTCAGAAGGAGCAGGTTAAGTCCAGGCTCTTAGGCAGGGAGGTAGACACCTTGAAGGAGAAACTACAGAAGCTGATGGGAACTGAGGAGTCCATCTGCAAGGTTCAGACGGATCACTCCACCCTGCAGACAAAACTGACCCAGCAGGAAGCCAGGAACAGAGAGCTGGCCAAAGAGATGAAGGAACTGAGTAGTGAGCTAGAGAGGTACAGACAAATCAAGAATTGTACACCTGGTGCAAGTAGACAACACCTCTCAGACCTTCATCAGACCACCAAAGAGGTTCAAACTGAGCAGTGTAGCCTTCCTCCTGACTACAGCGAGCACAGCGAGAAACTAGATGAAGAAAATGAGGATGAGGACCCAAACCATAATACAGAAGTCATAAAAAGAAGAAGCTCTCTTGTCAACAACCTCAATAGCTTGAACAGTGCAAATAATAACATAAACCAATACAGGAGCCATTCAGCCAATGGCATAGATATGCACCAAACAGTCAATGGAGAGGTGATGATGTTAACACACACTCCAGGGCAGCCCTTGCACATCAAAGTAACACCGCACCATATACTCAATACAGCCACACTCGAGATTAGCAGCCCCACCGGAGACACAGCTACATCCTACACCAGCACAGCCGTCATTCCAACGAGTGGGGCCTCACCTAAGCAGAGAATTACCATCATCCAGAACTCAGCTCTGTCTGGAGTTAATACTAAACCCCCCCCTTCCAGCCCTGACCGCACCGTCTCCCCACTTAACGGAACACCCATCTCTCGGGTGTTAAGTCCAAATTCCTCACGCTCTGTGACACCCGACCACAACACCTCCCCCATTCAGATTGTGACATTCAGGACCTGTTCTCCGGAGCCAACAGAAGTTGCCAATCAGACTGTCTTCAGCAAGACACCGGAGCGGCAGAACAGCTGGCAGCATCAGAGGTCCAACAGCACCGACGCAAGTCCCAGTATCATCACCTCAGACGATAACAAGATCCACATCCATCTGGGGAGCCCATATATCCAGTCCCTGAATGGTATGACCCACAGCATCCCACAGCCTGTCGGCCCATACTATCTCCGACATGAGCAAAGGACTCAAGTGCTCGCCAATGGCTGTCATGTCAAAGGTGTTGGCAAGATTACAAGTAGCATCACTATATCCCCTGCTACCTCTTCAGCCTCACATTCCTCAAATATTACAGTAAGTGGCCTTTGTGATTAGGTGAAAATGGATATATTCTGAACATACAGTATTATGTTCTCAGTCACATTCCCAGACTAGACAATTAAAACAATACATTTCCTCTAATGACAACCCAGTTTGTTGTATTTTGAGTCAGTCATCAAATAAATGCTTTGTAGTATTTGTCCTACAAGACCCTTTGTAACCCCTATTTGATCTAGTTAGTCTGTCTCTAGTTTTTCTGACTTCAAATCAACCCTTTATTGAATGTATGACATGTGTTTCTAGTATGAAAGCTAAGTGAGATATCGTAGCAACCAAATGTGTGATGTGCTTTCTGATCATTTTCTGTTTCATTAATGTTTTTTTCTGTTCATTAAAAGTGTTGTGTTGTTTTTATTTATTCACCTTGAATACTTTTGAGATAGGGTTGGCAACAACACAGCTAACAGGTTGCTAGCCAATTTAAATGCACAACAGCCAACTCCACAGTGCACAGCACAACACATCAAACACTTGGTGGACTCTAATCTGTTAATTACGTTCATTTCTGCCACAAGATGAGGGAGACAACTAAGAATTACTGGGATAGAAAATGTTTATGTGTTTGACACAAAAATTTAGTCACCCACTATCTCAACCACAGCAAAATTCCTCACGACTGTGTGTGTGTAAGTGTGAAACCTCCTTCAAGTGTGCACTGGAAAACTCAGCTCATGTTTTTCTGACACAATAAAACTCGGAACACCTAGTGGCGGTGCAGCTGTTCAGGTTTTATGGTGGATGGATTACTAAAAGCCTTTTTCTATTTTGACTATAAATTGTAATGATCAGACCCTTAACATATTTGAAATTGACAAATGATATACAATTACATTTTTGCATAAATCCATTTAGACATTTCCTCAGCCTTTTTACTTGTTTACTGTCAAAAGAAAAACCTGGTAACCCCTTTAAAATCACAAGGCAACCATGGAGCAGCAATTAGCATGCCAGTGCTGGTCAGTCTCGGTTTGTTAGACACTTTGCTGTGTGCAGCAGGTAAAGCATCAAGCTCATGTTATCTAGCTAAACCTCTTAATGATGCAAAGTTTCTCGCAGCATCATTTTACAACACATTAAGTTGTAAATAGTTGGTATAAAATAGTTGATTTGCTTACTTTATGAACATTTCCTGTTTACTTTTACTGTTTACTCTGATTTTCTTGTTTGTAAAATGCACATGACACAGGAAAGTACACAAGTGGAAAACTGGTCAGTGGTCTGAGTGTCACGTAGAAAATAATCCCACACAAACAAAAAACTTGTTTAAATATTTTTTTTAAAAAACATCGCATCTTCCAAGGCATGCAAAGGAAAAATATCTATCCAGAATATTAAAAAGGTAAGAGGGATACAGTCGGCAAATATAATGAGAAATAAAAATGTGCATCAAATCACAACATTGTTTAAACAAGAATGAACTGAACTGAAGGTGAGCCTACTACTGAGGAACAGTATAGCGAATTGATTTTGGAGAAATATTTTGTTTCAATGTAATTACCTTCATCCTCATACATGATTAAAGGGGATGGATTTTCCAAGATGTGAGAGCCTTTTGGGGAAAAAAAATTAACCAACAGGAACCAAATTAATTTCAATTTTACCAATTTAAAGAATTTATTCTAGGCTTTTAAAAATGTACCTACATCCTCTTGACTCTGTGTTTTCATTTGATTATAATCATCAAATAATCTCATCTTTCCGTCACGCACTTTGGTAAACATTTGTTGTTTCTGAAAGTCCCCTATAAATAAACTGACTTGACTTTACTATTATCTGTATTTAGGCCAGCCAAGTCCTTTAAATAAATTGGAGACTAGAATCAACCCTGAAACCTTAATCACAGCATTCATGGTTTTAAACCATTAATCACAACAAGCATGAGATCTTTTTTTTTTGGAAAGTTCAACACCACAAAATATATGGTTAGATAGTGTGGCAGATATAAATGCCCACAGAGACCAACAGGCATAGCTTAAATAAATTCTATCAAGTTGCCAAAGTTGTGTCCTCGAAATAAGAAACTATCTGACAGTACTGGGGGACAACATATGGGTTCCTGTGGTAGGAGAGGCTGGTATAGAGCCGACATAGCAGGTATATGATGACAAACATGGAGAACCATTAACCACACTGACATCACCGGTTGGCAAGGTGGAAGCCAGATGAGGCATTTGATGACAGTTTGGGACAGACTGTAGCGTGACAGAGGCCCCGTGAGAATCTTCGTCTTTAGTGTGAGTGTTTAGCCACAAGACCCATCGCCTTAAAAGTAATACTGCTTCTCATGAATCTACTCTTTATTCTTAAAGCTTCAAAGCCAGTCCCGTCCTCTATCTATCAGACTTCAACTCTCCTTTTCTGTCTTGTCAGTTTGTTGCATGGCAAAACATGTGCAGCACAACTGGCTGGAGCTTTGTATGGATGCTTTTATATAGGTATGCTTTTATATAGGGATGCAACAATTGTGAAATTCTGGACTGATACCAATGTTTAAGATAACAATTTGGCCAATAGACGATGCCACTACCGTTGTTTTTTGTTGTTGTTATTTATTCGTCCTTTTTTGTAAGGGAAATAAAGAAAGCAACAAAGATAAGCCTCTCTGCCTCGCTGCAGCTCAGTCTATTTCTAAGAACATCCTAGATGTGAGACGCAGAATTGAGAAGCCACTCGCTGTCCATACTGCTGCATTGAGCATATAGATATTTGAGTGCAATTTGTGCCAGTGCTGGAAAACGGAGGTGATTATTTTTCCAATATTGGAGTTGGAAATAAGCACAATATTTGTCATTCATACAGTGTGCAATGCATTGTAATCACGGCCCATTGCACCATGGTGCTATAGCGTCTATACCAGATCGGTGGTAAAGGCCATATGTTCCACTTTTAAAAGTGTAAAACTGAGACATCTTTGCACAAACAAATGCTTCACAAAAAAATAAATACATCTGCAGGAGTGAACACCAAGTGAACAACTAACTACCAGATAATTATGCCTCTTTTCTTTGATCAGATTCCTCCAGTGTCGCTGAAGAAGCCTGTTCCAACAAGGATTCCCAAGACCAAAGGAGTAACTAATAGAAGAAGCAACCGAGCTCTCAATACAGGACAGAGAAACGGAAAATTTCCTTCAGTGCATACAGGGGAAAAAATGACCCTGAGAGTGCCCAGCAGGACTGTGACTACAACATGTTTAGCACTGCAGCCCAGTGTTATAAAATAATTTTGCTATAAAAATATGCAAATCATATTTAAGGATTGTGAATATAATACAGATATCTAGACAGTATGAGGTTATTGCAACAAAAAACAGAAACAAAAGCTAATAAGTCAAACAACTGACAGTTGTATCAGTGTATGTCAATCAAGTGTAGTAAAAATAAATGATTCCACAACAATAAAAGACGTGTTACAAACGAGTTGTTCTCTTAGTAATGCCAGACACCAATCTGAAATATGTCAATTTTATTCTGCTGCTCACATGTAACAGGTTGACAGCTCATAGACCATTTATTTTAACAGGTAATGTGGGTGCATCCATATTACAGCACCATATCTCACTATCATTAAAACTGAGCACTTGTAAAAGGACAGTATATGTAAAATGTACAGAGGCTATAATATCATTAAACATATGGATTAGTGCAGTTGGGGCCAATAATGGTAAATGCCAATAATTGTTAAACACTTTATATTAATCACATTTTATTTACCAGAATCACTGTCCTCTTCTGCATAAATGTGCCCAAATACATGAGTGTGTATGTAAGTGAGAGACAGAGAAGAGAGAGAGAGAGAGAATATGTGTGCATGTCAGAATAAGGTGAATATAAAACTTTCACTTTAATACCTCCTCCACATCATCTAAATGAATCCTGCTCGGTAACGCAGCAGCACTGTCCAGCACAATGGGGTCAGTAATCCTTAAAGTACATGGCTGCCCTCTGTTGGTATGCAGAGTGTATGAAGCTATGCAAGAACTTCTGCTGTTGATGTTTGTAAGTTAGATCCGGATGGGCACAGCAGAAATAAGTTATGTGTAAGTCTAAATATGAGGTTTAGGAGAAGGTACGCGGCATGACAGACAAAGTTAGAGGAACACAAACCGAAACTATTCTCTGTGATGACACACACACACACACACACACACACACACACGTGTTTACATGCCTTCTGCTTGTAACGACTGATGCTACCAACGCTAACTTTCCCTGTCGCAACAAGTCAGAGTTAAACCACACAGCAACTTAACCACCGCTACTTTGTGTTTTACACAGTCGCTATGGCAACTGACGTTAACGGATCACAGAACGTTGCTAAAGCAACTCACTGGACATCGCTGGCTCGCTAACGTTAGCTTACAGTTAGCCATTAGCCAACCGATATTTCTTGCGTCTGCCACTTTAAAAGTTCGCTTTTTGGAAATACACCAAAGCCTCCGGGAGCACAAGTCTCAGAAACACTAAAAATGAAAGATAGTGGAGTTAAGGAAGGTACCTGATTTACCCTCGTGCGCCCACCACTCGTCCCCCAGGTCGTCTCCCATTTTCCTCCGCCAGCAGCCTGTCCAATCCGAATCTACCGCTGAGACAGCACGCTGGGGGTGTGTTCACGGGCAGCACGTTTAAAACACACAGTGTACAGCCTATAAAGCGACACCATGCAGACTAAACCAAGTGATATGGTCTTCCCACATCATAGTTTAAACAGTAGTTATATGTGGGGTTGGGTCATAGGTATCTTTACAAGAGCATACTTTAATTTTGTACTAATGTGACCCCGCATTATGCCACTTACTCACTGTAACGTTTACTTTATATTTGACCTGAGGAGCTCCCTCACCATGTCACTATTTCCATAGTTTAATAGAGTATGCATTAGAGCAGTTTTCTTCTCCTTTTAACTTCTCAATATATATATATATATATATATATATATATATATATATATATATATATATATATTTTATCTTTCTCTTTTCTTTTACTTTTAAGATGTTTGTCTTCCAAGTGATCACAATAATAGGCCAACCCTTTTAATTAACACCAGATAAACTTTAATAGCCGTTTGACCAAAATAACACCAAAAAAAAGCCTGTTTGAATAAAAATGAGAATATGGTTCTGACTCACACTAGCTGCTAATGCTGCAAGTCTATTTTTACCTTCACCACGAGATGAGCAAGCAAAACAACCCCATATTAAGCTTATGTCAAAGCTGTTACATGGTTGCTTGGGGGAAAACCACCCTCAACTGTCTGGATGTTTTTTTCTAGCAAATAGAAAGCTGTACTCCTAGGCAACAGTCTCTCTAAACATGATATGAGAAAACATGTCAATTTTCCGATAAGAAAAATAAT